AATTCAGTGATATTGTTGTTTACAATGGGCTGCGTGTGCTTGGCCCTCTGCAAATGGAGAGGAAGCCGAGCTGCTGCTCGAGGATGGTGTGTTGGGAACACACCCTTCCAAACCGTGGGCATGGAGAGCTCTGGGCAGGGCAGGGTCCCAGCTGTGCCAGGGCTCCGTGTGCTCCCTGTCCTGGATGTGGTGGCACATCCATTCCCCTCCTGGGCTCTAGCAGGGCACACAAAGAGATGACACCCACTCACATCAGGTCCCAGCTTGCCCTTGGGCAGGGGAGGGAGCCATGGATCTGAATTTCAGAGTGCACCAGGCCTCCAGTGCAGACACAGCCTCTAAGACATCAGGAACACATACAGCTACAAAGACCTAGCATAGTCAGACAAAGTTTTTAGGGTGAACAATGTTATCCTTTCCCTGTTCAACTCACTGTTGGTATTCTAATTTCAGCAAACTTCTAGGTGGTTTCCCGAGAAAGCAAAAGTTAAGAGAATCCTCCATGACAACACTGCCAGTGCTGTCAGCCTCAGCTCTGTGCCATGGCAGGCACCTAAGCCTGCAGAGTCCTCAGAAGGCTCTCACAGATGAGCTTTCCATAAGCAACACAGAAACACGATAGTTCGAAGCAAATAATTCTAAACTTTGCAATATGCATTTAATATAGCAAGATTAAACGCACCTAAATTACAGAGTGTTTTCATGTCATCCCTTGGAAGCACCCTGAAGCAAGGCCACCCTGAATTTTCAGCTGTTTCTAATCCCAGTTGAGAGATAAATCTGGAGTGTGGTATTTGGGGAAATCTCTTCTGCCACTACTTTTCGCCTGCACATTGGAAAGGAGGCAAGTGGTTCCATTTTGCAGAGAGCAGAAATCCACTGATTGAAGTGGGCTGCAGTTTGAGCTCACTGTGAAATACACCTAACAGTGCTTGTGACACCTGTTTGGACTTTTGGAACTTCCCCTAAAGCCCCCCAAAACAAGGCAGAAACTTGCCAGGAAATATTTGGTGAGAAGAACTAATTTTGAAATGGGCTACTTATAGGAACATATTACAGCCAACAGCTTTAGGTGGATCTTATTTACCTAAAGAGAGTCTCCAGACTGACCTGTTGGCTGTGGGGACAGGGTCCAACAGGAGATCAGGAGGACTTGCACCCTGCTTAATCATCTATTGTGGGCAGATGCTGTTTCTGGGGACCAGTCATGCAGGTGGCTCCGTGTGCCTCTGCCTGCTTAATGAAAACAGCCTGAATTAATCACAAAAATAACAGAGAGCTGTCCCAGTGTGGGCTGGCTGAGGATCTCACCCACAATATTCAAGATATATTTAGTGGGTGCTAGAAACTGATCTCACTTTTGACTGAGACACAAGGAAATAATTCAAGAGCTCATCCATTACAATCTTTTGCTGTTTCAGTTTCAAGATTCCAATAATATGTCATGATAATAATGATAATATTTCACTGACTTTGGAAGAAATAACTGGGTAACATTTACTAACTGCACAGGGATACACCAGATTGCAATGAAATGCTCAGACAAAGCTTTTTTCCTTTACCTTCAAACACCAGCATGGTTAGTCCTCTTTCAGAAATCTTTTCCTTCTTTTCCATCACTGTTTATTCTACTGAGGAAAATCTAAAAAAATGGATAAACTTGTAAAGATAAATATGCTGACACAAAATTCAGCACACCACACGAAGAACCCCATTCTACCTAATTGTGCACAGGGTGATAATTTAGCACTGATTAAAGAGTTTGTATTTTTTTCAAATCTTTTTTAAAAGGAAAATTACTTCTGAAGGTGAAGATGTGCTCAGACAATCATATTAACATATTCAAACAATTGCAATTTGCAAAATAGTAATTACAACTCACTATCTGGTAGCATTAATCAAACTTCAAGGTTTAATTCCATTTTAAATATTGATGAAATGTGATTCTCCAATCTAACCCTGGTGTTGCAGGGTTATGGAAGCAGCCAGTGGCAGAAAAAGAGGAACGTGTAGTTAACAAGCAGCTGCCACAAAGAAGGATCGGCATCTGTGATTTAAATTGTTAGCTGCACAGTCAGGTAGAGTGTAAAAAGGGTAGTCAAGAGGCTGTTAAGTCCATTGCTGCCAATTACTAACAATCAGGGAGGAGCTTTAAGACTTGTTCAGTACAATAAACCCAGTTTGTCTTGTTTCAGGGGTTACTACTGAAGAGGTTGCAGCTGCACTGATTCAAATAGCCCTAAAACTACAGTAATTATCAACCAGTCTTCTTTAGTGTAGCAAAAGTATGTTTTACCATAGCTTAACTCTTTACATTCTAATATTTCCCTGCCTCCTCTCCCATAGCCAGCCCTGGACCCATTCTCATCCCTGGGCTGTGGTTCTTCCTATCCTGGACCAATTCTTTCATTTCCCCTTACCTAGACCAAGGAGCAGTTGTACATCACACGGGGTTGGATGGCAGTTCTGTGGATTTACTTCATGTTGAGTCATTACATCTGTTTTTCCTTTTCATACACAAAGTTGAAATTCTCATCGCTCGTTCAGTTTTTACATCTGGTTAAACTACATTCAGGTTAAGCAGAGCTCATGAACACATCTTTAATTTGCATGGGCTCAGATCACTGCACAAACCAAGGCATTTTGGAATCAGTCTGGCAGGGCTAAGATCCTTGGAGTGACTTGTCCTGGGTGCTTTCCTAGGAGACCAGGAAATTCCAGAGTGCAGATTGAGACAATCTGGGCAAACCAAGGCTATGTTGGAAACCTGTGAAGCCAAGTTAGCATCTGCCTTTCTTTGTGCTTGTACCTTTGATGCTCAGCTGAGTGAGCTCTGTCAAAGGCTCAGACAGACTCAGGCTGGTTATTTCTAGCACTCAGGTGAGCCAGGTGTGCCCAGCTACCAGCCAGACATGGTGATGCACAGCATCTCTAACTAAGTTTTCTTCTTCCTTCACCATGACAGAAACAGACAAAAGTTTCCTTTTCATGCAATTATTACAAGCTCAGATAAACTATTATTTTTTTTTTAAGTTAAGGCAATTCCAGCTAAAACCACAAAGCCACAGAGACTGGACAATATCTGTGATAGGCAAGGCTCATGTGATCACATCTGCAACACCTAGTGCATAGAACAAAAGCCAGCACATTGATTATGGCTTGGATGTTGTTTTTAAGAAAGCTTTAGGGACCACATTTGCATTCCTGTTGCAGCCCTCAGTGGAATCTGCCTGTGAGAATTGCAGGGTCTTTACGCAAGATTCTGTGCTCATGGTTTTAATTTCTCTTTTAGCTTATTTTTTTCAGCATCTATTTTCTCCTACTTTACACCCAAATTAGAAATGTGCCATTACAGGATATTTTGTTATGGATCTGTGGATCTCTAAGGAATTTAAAAAAAAAAATCAGTGAAACACGGAAAGAGCTGAATTTAGCTATTTTATCTGAATTATAACCATTTTTCAGTCATTAAAGCAAGCACCTTGGCACCTTTCCTCCCTCCACCAGGAGCTGGGTGTGAGCAGCACCCGACTCAATCAGCCAGCAATGAGAGAAAAGGGGAGGGGGCAGCATTAAAAAAAAAAAAAAAAAAAAAAAAAGAGAAGAAAAAGGAAAAGACAAAGCTTGATTCACAAGCCACCACAGTCAATAGGATTAACCCCCAAGCTTGACGATTTGTGCATCAGAATTTGTCACATACCCCTCTGGAAACTTCTCAGCTTATCACTTCATCCCATGACACTTTCTATCTTTTACATTTCAAACGCTCCTCTGTCAACATAAAGGTACAACTCCACAGTCAAAAGATCTCCATGAAAATTTGAAATTCTCCTAAAGAAGCAAATTGCTTCTTTCTCCATTTTTTTTTGTGAGCTGTCTGAGCAAGGTGCTCAGCAGGGTGAATAAATGGGATCGTGGTGGTCACAGCATTGGGGTCACACCCCCTCAGCTCCATCCTCCTCCCAAATCATCTCTTCTTGTACATAACAAGGGCTGCCACAAACCCTCAAAATCAAGATTTTTACACACATCACAAGCAGCTAATATGGATCTGTTAAGACAGTGGTAAACACAAGGAGCAGCTCGAATATATTTCATTTATATAAAAATAAATGCAGATATTGTTGTAAGTAATACTTTGATTTCTTTTCCCCCCAAGGCTTTTGAAGTTTGTTTTTCCTGGTTTACTACACAGATTTCTTTTCTTCTACACAAACACAAAGGAAAAGGCTGCAGAACAGTTTTTGGAGACAAGACTAATATTTAAATCCCTGAAATTAAGAAGCCACAACTTAACATTTGCCAAGCTATTTTTTTGTAAATCATGCAGAAAATTACTATTCAAACTTTACTGGTCAGTTGTTTTTTCCTATATTGTCTTTGCTTTTATTTTCTTTCCACACTGTCATTATGCTCTCAGAATAAATACGACAGACATGAATACTAACAAGGGACACAGGAGTTGGTCTAAAATATCTCTCAGCCACTACATCAGTTTATCAATACCTGCCACAACATACATATCCAAAACAGCATGGAAAGAAAAGCTGCAAGACAAGAACCTGGGATTTTACTGTAAATTTTTCTTTACCTTCACCTTCTATAAACCAACAAGCAACATAGCCAGAATATTTTAAAAATGCCTATCTTAATTTCTAATAGTTTCAACATTTCTCCTGCATATTTTGGCCAAAAAGGCAAAATATAAAATCTATACATGTAAATCTCATAGTTCACCCAAGCTAAGCTTATCAAACAGATGAATATTCAGTCCTTGCCACACACCCAGTATCTCCTGCCTTGACAAATTCCCACACAACAGCACAGGATTTTTTAAACAAGCAAAAAAAAAAAAAAAAGAAAGTGTTCTAAGAGATACCAATGGCTAAAAAATGGATTTATTTTTGAAATTGAAAATGGCTTGTTTGATCTGGACCCCGGGGATGCAAAGAGCAGATCTGCCACGGGGATATTTAACATTTTCTTTCTCTCCCTTTCAGACAATGATGAGCATGAATGGATCCTTCGGACCTGCCGGAAAGCCTGGGACATAACAACGGAGCACAAACCGAAACCATAAAACAGCTTTTCCTAGACAATATCCCGGCAAAGCAGGTAATCTGATTCACAATAAATGCAATTTGTCCTCGTGGATTTGTCTCACCCTTTCCCTCGACAGGAATATAATCTTTCTGTCATCTTTGTCAGCTCAAAGAAAAATGGAAATAATCATTTAATCAGTCATGCTGAGCAAAAGCCACGGCAAAAAAGCCGACTGTACTCACAATAATATTCCTGAGAGGTGTGCAGTGTAGTATGTATAAACATTATTAAGCCTGAAAACAATTTGTTAAAAAGAGTGCCTCAGATTCGGTGTTGAAGTCATTCAAATCCATCTTAATCAACATTATTTTCCCAGATTTTAGTTAGCTGTCCTGGTGAATTCCTTTCCTCTCTTTTTGCTCAGTACTTTGATATTGATTGATCATTGTAATAATGTACACCAGAGGTATTCTTTAATGACGGGTTTGCTAACTAGGAAATTATATCCATTTACTACGAACGTTTGTTGAACTCTCCTGAAGCCAGAGTTTAACAAAATAATAAAAGAGGAAAACTGGGTGGGTTGCTGCTTGATTAGTAAGCCAGAAAGTATTTAAAAATAAAATAAAATGGAATTACATCATTTTCTGGATGTAAGTGCCAGCACTTCTACTTGCATTAACTTTATTTATTACACAAATAAGACATTTACAAAGCACAACATTAAAAGTATGTAACAAAACAGACATTGGTTTTACAAAAAGTGCTTACAATTTTGTTTTACTTTTTTAAAATAAATATTAGTCTTGACTGTCCACTCATTCAGAGAAAAAATTTTTTAACCATTGTAGCCAAGACATGCAGAATTGCAACATGCTACAACAAAATGATTGGCAGATGAAATAAAATTGGTGTTTAGTTGGCATCCTACAGATAAATCACTGATAGAAGTGCAGGATTGGTTCCCACTCCCTGCCCCAACGAGTGAGTTCTGTAAGCACCTTTAGCTCGGGCATTGGGTTAACCAGCATGAGCCAGAAAAAAAAAAAAAAAAATCACTGGTGATAAAACCTGAAACCATCCCACTTCCAGAGCCGAGCTCTGTTAGTCACCTTATTAAACTGGAGTGAAGAGCCTTTCACTGGCTGTCTTCAGTGGATTCTGTCTGCAAAAGGGTTTGTAAATAGCAACTGGAAAAGTTTAGTGCGTGGAGTCTGCATTGCTGCACCAGAACCCATCTGGCAATTACTGAATAAACTAAGAAAATGAGAATGACTTTAATTTTTTTTTTTTAATCCACAAACAGGAGATGAATGCAAATGACCTGAGATAAGGTTTGGTTCAGTGGCAACAGTCAGTGTGAAATATGTTGTGAAACAATGTATTGAATAAATTAGAAGATTTCTTACATTCTTGGTACAGTTGAGTATTTTCCATACACATAATTAGCTCTAAAACTGCACAAGCTGAATTGCTTCCAGTTTTTGCAAACAATTTGGGCTTAATATAAACAGAGCCTGATTTCTGAATTAGCAAAGCTGCTCCTGGCTACTTATGGGGGGAAGTGCCCCGAGCACAGTCTGTGGTGAGCCCAGGTCCCTGGAGAGGAGCACCTACATTCCCTCAGCCCCTGCCTCGCACTCCAGCCCTGCCGTGGTGTCGGGTACAAACCCTTGGATACCCAGGACGTTTCACAAAGTGGGTTTTTTTTCTGATCAAGTTGGTATTTAGCAGATACATATTTCATAGTTTTCCTTTCACTGCATTGCCAAGACAGAAGGGAGAAACGCATCAAACCCTTTTCTCCCTCCACAGAACAGTTGTGGCAGTCTCAGACACTGGGATGTCAGGGCAAGTTACAGGCTGAAGTCTCTCCTTCAGTGTCAAATGGAATAACTACCCATTCCTTTATGGCACGAATTCCACAACTAAATGGTCATTAGGATGTGCAAGCACAAATGGAGAACAAAGTCAGGCCCCGGTGACCCCCCCAGCCCCCACGAGCATCTCAAGGCTGGCACATGGACACAGCAACCACCTCAACCTGTGATGACAAACACTCACCAACAGCCAGCCAAGGGAGCACTCATCCTTCCCTCATTGCTCATCCTCAAAAACAACTGCACCCGGTGCACCTGGAGCAACTGGTGACTGTCCCCTCCCCAAGGGTCACCTCTGCAGAGCTGGTTCCAGTCAGGTCAGGCATGCAGGAGGGCCTTGTCACTGCTCACACTCTGGAAATGGTCACTCACACATCAGGAGGTGACAATAATATTTTTGTGGACTTAAATCCCCTCTCTCCTTTCAAAGGTTACCTTGAATTGGGAATAGAGCTGCTGGCTGCAATTTAACAGATACTGGCCCAACTGTCCGAGGTAGTACCATCACCCTTTTAATACATGTGCACACACAAGAGTGTGCATGTGTGGGTTTGTTCCAACCAATATCAATGTGTGCTTGTACTCAGTTACTTCTCAAACCAAGACATCTCGGTGGCCACCTCAGCAGATGTCCCCATGTCCCCACACCACTCCTGGAGCGTTCCTCGTGCTTCAGCTGGAGCCACGTGCCTGGCTGCTGGTGTCACACGGAGTTCAGGGACACGGGCAGGAGAAGGCTCCCCACGTGTGCAATATGGGCTGGCCACAGGTGTGGGGTGGTTGCCCACCCAGGCCATGCCACGGATTGATCCAGGATGTCCCAGAGAGGAAAACACGTGGATCTACAGTTCCAATTAAAAACAAGTTATGTAACAGATGGATTCCCATCTCCTGCTCCTCGGGCACGCTTCAGTCATATCCCTCACTAGCTGTGGCTCAGGGTAGGCTTTCACATTCTTGGAAGAGCAGCCTCACAGACACTTCACAGCAGGACAGACCCATGTGCTTGTGTGGAGAGAGGTTTTGTTACAGACCTGCTCTTGGCTCCGTGCAAACTGAGAAGGGCTGGCAGAGGTCACTGGTTTACTTTTCGTTATTACCATCAATGAAGGATCATTTTGGAGTCCTTTTCCTGACTTGGGGCCAGACTGCTGAGCACTTCCTTTGCTGTTGCTGTTCTCCTGGGGTGCCCCCTCATCGCAGGGCCTGGCAGGATGGACAGCTGTACCCCAGCAAGGGAGAACAGGAGGGCAGAGGGGATCAGTGATGCTGCCAGACAAAGGAAGGTGCCATCCCCTTGCTGTCCACTTGGCTAGCGAAGCTTCCTGCTGGCCTTACTGTGGCTTTCACCTTTTTAACTGGTCTCCAGTTTCTACCCAACTCTTTCCACTGACTGAACTTGAGTCCACAGCAGGGCAGAACATTTCTACACCTTTTTGGCCACCTTCCATTGAGCGTTTCCCAGTCCCAGAGTATGGATTGTCTGAGAGTTTTCTGTAGGTACATTCTGAAATCACCCATTCGTGATCCAATATGACTCCAAGGAAATAAAGTAGCTTGTTAATAAAGAACGAGAGTAAAAAACTTTAAAAAAAAAAAAAAAAAGATTTGGCAGATGGCTGTGAGAGGAGAGAGATATTCAGTGTTCTAAGAACAAGTCAGCAATCAAAAACTTCAGGGTGCTAAACCTGGCTCTGCCACCAACCCTCGTGGTCCCTCTCAGTTTAGGATATCTCTGCTTCCCCTCCTATAAAACGGGGGGAAAAACACTAAGATTTACTTACCTTTGAGTGATCAAAGGACATGTGATTCTAAAGCACTTTGAGGAGGAAGAAAAACTGCCTATTTCCAGCTGGCATCATGTTTTCCACTCAGTGGAGTCTCAGCTACCTGCGAGTTTGGCTCAGGAAGGTCTGTCTATATATCGAGTTGCTGAGCCAAAAAGCCAATTTCAGATTTCACACGAGAGTGGAAAGAAGGAGGGATGTCCAGGAACTGCTTCACTGGTGCAAAAAGAGAATCAGGCCAAACCACATAAATTCCTCCTTCCTTTATGTTCAGAGGTGATCATCGACCCCCCTGAGACTCAGCATGTTCTGGGTTGTTCATATTCCCATGGGTTTGGGAGCAAGACTTGCAGTAGAGTCACCAGTTCTGTGCCTGGCACTGCCTTGGAGAGACTCACGGTCATTGTACAAGTCCACAAGAAACAAGTGTAAAATGTAACTGTGCACTCAACACACACATACACAGAGTGTCGCTGGAGAAATCGGAGCGGGCGCGAGGTGCTGGTCAATGGAAGGAGCTGAGAGTGCCGGGGCTGGGCTTCTCCCCGGGCCAGTGGCCGCTGCCGAGGGCTGGGCGCTGTGTCAGCGGCTGAGGGGCAGTGCTGCTGGTAGGGCCATGGGCAGCTGAGGAAGAGTCCGAGCAGTCAGTACTGAAAGAGGATGACCTGGGGGGAAAACGGGAGCGTCAGCCACAGACAGAGCCCTCGCCATGGTGATGTGCCTGCAGGGAGCAGCAGGGCAGACAGGGGCTCTGCCACTTCCTTGCAGGAAAACTCTCTTTGGAAGCACTCTGTGCCCAGGAGCTGCCAGTGAGGAGCCCAGGTGGGAGGTGGTGGGACTGTGGCAGAGTTGCACCACACCTTCAGCTGTGGAACCAAACAAAGCCTGGCTGCACCCCAAAACCAGCAGTCCATTCATCTGTTCCGTGATACAGCAGCTACCAAGAAAATCAAAGACCACAACCAATGGTCCTGATTGTCCTCCTCACTCACTGATCAGCACAGGCTCCCCTCAAACACTGCACCTCGGTGCTCTGCAGCTCCAGCCCCTTCCCTGCCTTCAGGCCACAGCTCAGTTCTCACCAGCCACTGCACTGGGCACCCTGAGAGGAGGGTGGAGGGTGTCCCACATGCAGAGGGAAACACACACTCAGCGTTTAAATGTGTTTTCCCAGGATCTCAGCTATCTCTGCTTTTAAAAATTTGTGGATGTGAGGGAAAAAAAGCTACTTCAGTTTTCAGGAATTTAACACGCAAGTGATTGTTTAGAAAAGGAGCTGGTTGGGGGGCAGCTCCGTGTCCTGAGAACCCTGTTCTGCAACAGCTGTGAGCCAGTAATTGCATTTAAATCAGGAGCTGCTTGCTGCAGTGAAGCCTCTCTAACAACAGCACCAAGACCGTATAATATTTTCTGAAAACTCTGCAGCTTGCTGGGCAGATAGGACAAAATGGTATAATTTAGACTGAAAAAGTATCTTTGCTGTGCCCCTGCTTCTGCCCATTGAAACAAAGCTCAATAAGCTCCTGCTGCCACACTGAGAAGAAAGAGATCTGAAAAGAGAGGTGCTGAGAAGTTCTAATAGCAAAGACAAAAGCTAAAACCAGTCCGAGTTGCCAAAGGCTCAGTGTTCCCTCAAAAGGAAGTCAGTGAAACTAGGGTCCTAAATAAAATTTTCAAACCTAAGCATGTTTAGAAGTCTTGCCCCCAATTAGCTGTGTGTTAGAACAGATACTGTAAGAGCTGAGCAGAAAAATATCAACATGCACTATTGTCTCCCGGCCAGACATTGTGAAATAACATTCCTACTTCAGATATTGTAACAGCCAGTTGTTATTATTTTTAAGCAATATTGCAATCTGCAAGAAATTAATCTTTTTTTTTGTTAACTCGTGGAAAACTGGGAAGTCAGCACATACTGGGGGTCCCCTGTGCTCCGTTGTTAACAGCCAGTTTCTGTTCACACTGACCACACGTGCCTGAGGAACGGAGCAGGACAGAGCTCAGGGAAGGGGAAACCAGGGAGGATCGAGGCAGGAGAGTGTGAGAGCTCTCAGTGGATGCAGGCACAGAGCCCCAGCACATCACAACAGCGAGGGGTGTCCAGTGAAAAACACAATGATGCCATTTTGACCAACAGTGGGTACATCAACCTTAGGGCCCCCAAAACTACGAGAAGACACATGGGTGGGTGCCAGAGTCATGGAGAAGCAGTGATGCTGACAGGACAGGGTGGCAATGATGTTACACACAAATCTTTGCTACAGCAGAGGGTTGACCCCAGAGCCTGGAGCAGGGACTAACATTTACCTTCTCACCCCTATTAGATAGTGGTCCTTCCATGTCTGCTTTGAGGTGCACTGGTGGAGCAGTGTAGGGAAGTCTACAGTGCACTTGTCCACACTGTACCTGACCTGTGGATGAGAAGAGGCTTCAGCCTCTGTTACTGCAAACAACACACGCCCTCCATCCAGCTACGGGATGTAGCTCCGTCCAGGTACTACAAACAACACCGCATCCTACATCCTGCATCCCGGGTTTCCACCGGGACACGAGGGAGCAGGAGGTGCCCAGCAGCTCCTGGGCACAGGGGGAAGAGCCTCACAAGAGCCACAGAGCCAAAACCTCTGTCCAGGCATGACCAAAGCTGCCCGCCACTCACAGATCATTCACTGGCACTGGGAACTGCCAGAAAAAGCAACTCTGCTGTCCTGAGCAGGAAGGAGACCACTGATCACCGACCACCGAGCCCCACAGGGCACACTCACACCTCTTCTCCATGACACAGAGAGCACAGGAGAGCCAAGGACCAGCCAGGTAAAACCCAGGCACTGACTTTCCTGGGCACGAGTTAATCCCAAGGGCAAAGTTTATCAGACACGAGGAGGAGCAGCAGCACGGGCACCATCCCCGCCTGTCCCGGGGCTATCCCGAGGCTGTCCCAGCCCTGTCCCAGCCCTTCCCCAGCCTCTTACTTTCGATGTATCCGTGCAGCGTCACCATGCGGGCCCGCTCCGGGCTGCTGAAGGGCGAGTAGTGAATGTCCTCGGACAGCGAGGAGGGGATGCGGGACGGGGGCGCTCCCGAGGGCGGCACCGTGTGCTGCGGGGTGTGTTTTTTATGGCGGGCTCTGCAGTTTTGAAACCAAACCTGAAACGAAAGCAGAGAACGCTGTGACAGCTGAGAGACAATTGGGTTCAAATGTGGTATTCGCCAGGGTCCTTGGATGGGCGTTTCTTCGAGGAGTTTACAAAAAGAATGAAATAGAGAACTCTGCACCTCACCAGCTTCCACAGGTTTGATTTACACTCACCAGAGCAAGAGTGAAGCTGCGTACACAAAGCTTTGTCCCTGCAAATGATGGGAGTTCCTTTCAAGGTCTTATTTAATCAGCAATCCCAGCCCACCCAGCCTAAGAGCACAGCTGAGATCAGTTGGGACAACTGAGTATTGGCAAAGAGGGAAACAAGAGGAGACAAAAACGAGTAGAAGCTTAAACTAGGATAAGTTGTGACTTTAAGAATAATGAAAACAATATTGTTTTGATCACTTGTGGTTTATCATATTCAAAAATAAAATAAAATAAATATCATATTTATCATATTAAAAACCCCATCAGTAGAACATTAAAGCTGAGAAAGCAGGGTACTGTGGTGGGATACAGCCATGTATGTGAGCATCAGGTATGAGATCTCTGATCATATCCCACTGCTTCTAATTAAAGGAGTAGTTAGGGAATTATATCCTAGAGTTAAAACATGTATAGAAGGGGTTTTTTTATGCTAAAGAGGTGATCTGTTTCTTATGCTTTAATTTTTGAAAGATAGCTGGGAGTAAAAACCTTCTCCAAGACTGAGTGAAGATCAACTCTCCAAGGCAGAGCACACTGGACCACAGAGAAGGAAACAGTCATAAGTATTTGACAAATTGTTTCCTGTTCAAAGCGTCTTTAAAAAATATCCACATAAAAAATCACCCAGTGTGCAGCCTGCCTGATCTTCAGCTAAATGAAGAATCTCAATAACAGAGGCTCAAGCCAGATTTTCACACACAAAATTTAAATGTGTCATTGGCAAAACAATCTTGGATGAAAGCTCCAGATTTATTTTAATCACTCGTGTTTTTATTGTATGCAGAAAGTATGTGAGCAGAACGTTAAAGTGATGAGTACAAATGTCACCAAGAGGCAAAGCTGGGCTGTCTGTGAGCTGGGAGTTGCAGAGGGGACATTTCTCAGTTCCTATGGCACCACTCACCCTCCCCTCCCAGATCAGGCATGGGGACTCCCCTGCCACTGTGTCCCCTGGGGCTGCAAAACCCCTTCTTCTTTAAACTTCTCAATCCCAATGCTTCCCGACGCTGGGGAGCTTTGCCTGCTGGTGGCAGGGCCGGCTGCCGGGGAAGCTCCCACACTCGCTGTCAGCGCCCGGGACACAGCACAGCCCTCCAGGACTTGTGCTAAGGGCAGCTTTCCCACCCAGTGATTTATTGCCAATGGCTGGGGCTGTTGGGGTTTTGATTCATTGCATCATAAGAGGGGGAAAAAACAAACAGAAAACCCACGAATGAGACAAGGAAAAAACGGTGCTGGCATCGCTGCAGGAGCAGAGGAGCCGCCACGCAGGGGAGGCAGCACGGAGCTGCTGGATGCTGCAGGTCCGGGGCTGAGGGGTCACAGACTGCCAGCCCTGTCTGGTGCCAGCCTTCAGGTGCCCCCTCCCTGCCCTGCTTGGGGTTGCTCGCCCGATGGTGGCCACCCCCTGCCCGTCCCTGCCCTCACCTGAATGACTCTCCGGCTCAGCCCCGTCATGTCCGCCAGCTTCTGAAGCGTTTGTGCGTCGGGGTTGTTGTCCTGAGCAAACTGTGCCTGCATGACCTGTGCAGAGAGGAGAGGGGAGAGAGGGGCTCGGGATGAGGCTGGGGAGCCACGGCCCCCCCAGCCCCCCTGGCCCTCCTGCCCCACCTGCAGCTGCTCGGCGGTGAAGGAGGTGCGGGCTCTCTTGGCTGGCTTCGGCTGGCTGTCCTGCTCCGAGGGCACAGCCCCCTCCAGCGTGATCCCGTTGCCTAAAGGGGAAAAACCCGATGAGCCACAGGTCAGAAATCCCCACCAAGTACAGCAGCTGCTCGTCTGTGGGACACCACACCTGTGGCATCACAGCCTGGGGCATCCAGAGCATCCCTTGCTGCAGTGGGAGCAGAAAGAGCGGAGCCAGCACTGCCACTCAGGAAATGCCCTGGGCTGCTGAGCCCCTCCACACACAGGAAAGGAGAAAAAAACATTCCCCAGGAGTTTACTGTGGAATTAAGAAAAATGCAGCAAGTGGTGGAAGCCACAGGGTGAGACAGCAGCAGGAAGAAGGTCAAGGTGGTGTGTGAGGGCAAGCACCGATGTCCCTCTGGCCCTGACTCGCGGTCACCACTTGGCCACATTCTCCAGGGAGTGGCTCGGAAGGACCCCTGTCTCTGCCAGGCTCTCCACCATCCATCACTCCTGCCCCTTGCTGCTCCCTGTGACCCTGTTTTCCCTCGTGGGCGCTGCCTCCATCAGTCCTTTCATTTGCTCAGAGCATTTCAGTGGGCTCTTTGCTCCTTTCTCCAGCCCCAGATTGTCCCAGCACCCACACCTCCTCTTCCTCCTGGGTCCCAGAGCAGCAGCCACAGCAGGGGGGACACTCCAGGGGGACACTGAGCTCCCCCTTGCCCAGCACAGTGTCGGGGCGAGCCCTGCTGTGCTCATGCTGCTGTGCAGCCTCCAGAGAGGGTGGCCGGAGCCTCGTTCCTCACCAGGACCCTGCTGCAGCCCATGCCGTGTCCGGCTGCCCCTGGCAGTGTAGGTGAAGCAGCAGTGAGGGAAGGGCGAGGGGGGATGGAGGGGGAGGGCCGCTGAGCAGAGCTGGCGCTCGCCCCGCTCCCAGGATGCGCCGGCACAGCCCGGGGATCGCTCCACAAGCTGGACCAGGCTGTGATTGTCTTGGCTTGAGTTGAAGGACTTTCTCATATAGTTTGACTTGTTCTTTTCGGATGATGAATGGGACTCTGACTTCAGCAACATCTGTTTATTTTTCTTGTATGTAAAACCTCATGTGCAGAAGAAATTGCTGGGTAATTACTGGAGGAGGGAGTGTGGCCCTCCAACTCCACAGCAACTACAGCTCTCCAAAGTGATCCCACCCCCTTCTCAAAACCCCTTGGATACAGGTAGTGACACCTGACGTTCACCAGGTGCCCCAGCACTGCCTAACACTGGTGCTCAGCCCACACCAGGAGGTTGTTCTGAGCAGCAGCAGCAAACCCACAATCCCAGCCCTCAGCTGGGGCAACAGCTCTGCAGGACTCCCTGCTGCCAGACCCTGCTGTGCTCACACCAATCTACTCCCCCAGGACACGTGGCTTCTCTTCCTCCATCCTTGCTCCCCATCATCCCCCTCACGCCCCCGCAGCAGCTGACCTTATGGACCAACACACTGCAAGCCACGGCCCGAGCCAGGACCCTCCCAGCCCAACTGGGCACTCTGTTTTCATCCTCTTACTCAAACGCAGTAAACAGAAACATATTCTTTTCCTTTCAGGTTGTTAATGGTTTCCACATGCTGCATGGGCTGGGACACGGGGTGTCACTCTCTGTGCCCACTGTGTGCTGAAGCACTTTTCACCACAGGACAGGCCCTGGCACTGCCCAGCACCACTCTGGACTAACCCCACAAATTTGTTCCTCTGAGCATCTCTCTGGGCACTGCCTGCAGGAGGATGGAGAAGGGACAGGAGCTGCAGTGCTGTGTGACCTCGGTGTCACTGGCTCCACTGGGACAGTGGAGGTTGGCTGTGGCACAGCGCTGTCAGCTGGGAATGCCACGGCCCCAGATGGGCAGGGCAGGTGGAAAACGATGGGAAGGTTTTGTCGAATCATCAATCCCACCTTCTACATTCATGACTCACAGCCTCAAAATCCCAATTCCTCACACTGCAATGTAGGCTGTGCAGGACCAGGGACTTGTCACTGGTCACTGACAGGTCTGCCACGAGTCTCAGGTGCTGCCAGCACATTGGCCACCCCATGAGCCCTCTGCCAGCCCAGAGCCTTGTGCCCAAGCCCCCCCAGGGCCACCCCCTTTTGGCAATAATAGAACCTGTGCTAAGGGTCGGTGGGAGGACAGTGACGCCCCGCACGGTTCCGTGACCGTGGCGCTCCGTACCGTTCTCTGCCGCTCGCTTGAGGTTCTCTATCATGGTGTCGTAGTGGATCCGGCACAGCACCTTTTCCTCCACCAGGCCGAACTCCTCGCCGGTGGAGAGCTGCCTCTTGCAGGAGAAGCAGGCGAAGCAGGCCAGGTGATAGGCATTGCCCCGCGCCCGCCGCACCCAGTCACTGGCGTAGATCTGCCTGCCACAGCGAGCACACTTCGTACCGAACCGGCTGCGGAGGACAAGAGACAGGTGAGGGCAGGCAGGGGAGGGCAGGTATGGGAAGACAGGCAGGATGAGGGCAGGCAGGTGATAGTAGGCAGGTGAAGACAGGCAGCACGATGCCGAGGTGCAGGCACTGCTGCCAACCCCGTTGCTCACCCCGACCACCCCACCATGCACGCAGGGATGCAATGGAGCCGCCCCGGCGCTGCCTTTGCCGTGGCACTGGCAGCAGTGGGGTGTAACTCATTGCAGCCCTGCGGCGCCAGGCGCAACCCGGGGGCTGAGGTGACGCAGCGCCGTGAATCAGCTCCCAAGCCCGTGGGTTTTTTATTTTGATAACAGCCAGTGTGACACTCGGATGGAAACTGTGTCAGAGCTGGTTCTCTCCCGCTGCCATAAATCAAACCATGTGTGTTCTCCTCACACGTACAGGCGCACACATCTGCTTTTTCCCCCGTGGAGGAGGTCTCCTCACTGTGAGAGGATGATGACTGCGCTGGAGTGAGCTGTGCTGAAGGTAGCTCAGCACAGTGAAGAGGCAACAAGACAGTCAGAATCCCTTCACCAGGTGATTGTGTGAAAACCCCCATTTCTGTCAGGATCCTGTCAAGATGCAGCAGATGTGGCCCCCATGGCCCTGAACCCCAGGTCAGTGTCTGACATGAGATGCCAGGCATGGTCTTAGTTTGATATCTGCATTTCAGTATTACAGCTGCTTAAAATAATAAATGCAACAAGCAGCAGCGAGAGCATCAGGAGAGAAGGGAGCATCTCCTCTGCCACCCCAGAGGTGGTACTGGCTCAAACACAGTCACTGCACTGCCTCACACAGCCCCAGCACTGCCACTGCCACCTCAAGCTCCCCAGGGCTCCTGCCAGCCCCTCACCCCAGTGGGGAGCAGAGCCGCTGGCAGCCCTGCCTGAGCAGCTCCAGCATCTCTCAGTGCAGGCACAAAACACCGACAAAGAACGACCACAGCAAGCGACAGGAGAGACCCCACACCACAAACCCTTGGGTTCAGTGGCCAGAGCAGCCCCAGGTTCTGTGGACAGGCAGAGACAGAGCCCAGGCCAGGCCACCGGGGCCAGTGTGCTGCCCGTGCCCGACCCCACACCGAGGAACTGCTGCCCACCGTGGGCCCAGCAAGATGTGGAAATACCGTCCTGTGCTGGGATTACTAATAGCTAAACTATTTGGGAGGAAAAGAAGGGTCTAAATTTTTCAGCCTGACCATAGCTGACCAAAGAAGAGGAAAAAAAAGAGGACATTTCTGTGCTGAAATTATACAGAGACTTAGCTAAGAGACTTCACTAATTTACTTCAGATGGGAACATTGTAAACTGACTTTGTGCCAGCTCGTTTATATAAACGCACAAACAAAAGAACTGTATTAATTTTTTATTTAGAAATAAAGATCATTCCTGTAAATTGAATTACTTTGAACAATGTGCTATGTAAACAGTCGTACTTGCTGAACAGTATCAAGCGAGGGGCAGGCGTAGGGAGCTAATGGCACGTGGTGATCACCACTCCCCGCTCGAATCCCAGCGGAGACGGGGGGAGCACAGCACGGGCAGGGGGAAACTGAGGCACCAGGCACCACACAGAAAAGGTCACACATCCCCATCACACACCAGCTGGGATCTGGGGGAGACATCAGGCAGGACCCCCAGGTTGGCAGCGGTGCCCAGAGAGCCGGACAGGGTTTGCTGAAAGGCGCGGGGGCTCGTGGCAGCAGCACAGGCAGAGGCTGATGCCACTGTCCCTGCAGAGCCATGGCATGAGCAGAAGCCGGAGAGAGGCTGAGGCTCAGCAGCACCACGGGCACGGGGCTGCACAGCCTGCAGCACCAGCCAGCACTGACGCTGTGCCTGCGGCTCTCGGCCAGCTCCCGTCTGCGGCACCGCTGCAGTGATCAGACACAGAGCTGGGGCCAGGCACCAGCACCCACTGTCACCCAACAGAGACTGTCACTGTCACTGCAGGTACCACCACCATGGCACCACCACTGCCAGGGACACAGGAACGGGGAGAGAAATGCCTGCAAGAAATCAGCCCTGACCCATCACCGCTGCAAATAACAGCTCAAACACAACACAGGATTTAACTCACTGAGCTCACAGGGCAGTGAGAGCCCAAAGAGCCCCTTCTGCTCGGGGCAGTAGAGCACCAGGAGAGGGGCTCCACAGAACTCCTGCCACCTGCCTGGCACAGGACAGGGGACACACTGTAGCAAGAGACACTGAGCCAGAGGGTTTGTCCAAGCCCAGAACTGTGGCACAAGCTGGACCATCACAGAACGCTACCAGAACCATGGGCTCATACCCTGCACGCTTGGTTTGTGGTCAGGTGAACAGATGCACTCGCCAGAGATTAACTCTGGGAGATGGAAACTCACAACAACGTTACCAGGAAAGACTCATCCCAGAGAGAGTCATCCCAGGAAGACTCATCCCACCTCCCCCAGGGGTGGCTGCATCATCTGGGGTGTGGGAAGAGCAGAGGCGGGAGGATGCCCTGGTGCATCCTGTCTCTCCCGTGCCGCTCATACCCAGGTGCTGCAGCTCCCTGAGCCCTCCTGTCCATCCCTGCCTGTGGGCACAGGCAAGGGGCACCCAGCCGCAGGGCCACACACTGCTCCAGACATTCCTGTCCCCTCCTGGGTGCACTCTGTAGGAAGCCTCTAACACAGCCCTCAGCAGCTGCAGCTCACATCTCACAGCACAGCAGCAGTGGTGCCTCAGCGAGGGTCCTCACTCCGCGATGCCCGAGCAGGAGCATCATCCCAGAGGGACATAACAGCGAGGGGTGACACCACCTGAGCCACAGCCACCCCAAGGTCACATGCCTGCCCACTGAGGTCACAGCAGGGCACAACAGGAATCACACCAGGATCATGCTGGGCCTCGATCAAAGCCGTGGGAGCTTGGCTGTGAGCAGCCCTTGCATGGCCTGGGAACACAGTGTTCTGCTCAATGAGCTCCAATTTTAATTTGGTTCTCCTTGAAGCGCTGGAGCCTTAGATGCCAAATGTAATTATTTGACAAGACACAGGAAACAGCAGCATTTGCTTAAAAATGCACACGAGGCTACGGAGTCGTGGCAGAACCAGTACCTACACAGCCCCTCATTGGGACAGAGAAGGGACACTTGGACACAGCAGGCCTAACCACACTCCCCGTGGGCAGTGGGGCTGTGACATGACAGCCCCGTGCCTGACAGCCTTCATCCTCAGCATCCCCCAACAGCTTCCGTGTCAGAGGAATCAGCACTGCAACAACAGTGACAGTATGACCCGTGCAGAGCATCTCACTGCCCCTTCCGTCTGCTCTGGCTCCAAGGACCACACTCGTTAGGATGGGGTTTCTGCCTTGCTTTTAAAAAAAACCTCAAGCATTTAATCTACCTCAAATAATAAATGAAATTTTCAAAATCCATCCCGAGGATCAGTTTTAGCCCGTGCCACGCGCCAGGTTCCACTGTCTGGAGTCAGCGAGATGCCAGCCAGGATGCTCCCAGGGCAGGGTGGGGTGCGGGAGGGGGTCGAGAGAATGGACAACGAGTGGAGTGTGCCGGGGTAACGGGAGGGATCCCAGCCCTGCACACGGGCTCCGGCCACACGCCGGCACCGACGGCGATGGCTCAGCCCGGCGGGTTCTGCCGCGGGAGGCGGCGGGAGCGACCCCCGCCCGCCACCCCCGAGCACCGCACCGGGGCCCGCCCGGGCTTGGCCCGGGGGCCGCAGCGATCCCCGCGGGGCCGGGGGGAGCGAGGCAGCTCCGCACCCGCCGCGCTCCGAGCGCCGCTGCTGCCGTCGCTGCCGCCGCTGCTGCCGCTCAGAGATTCACCAAAATAAAATAAAAAAATCTCTCCATACCCCCACCTTTTTTAGCAAAAGACAAGTGCGGAGCGCGGGCTGGGAGCCCCCGCGTCCATCGAACGGGTGCCGCAGGAACCGGGAGCGTCCTGCGGCGGCTTCCGCGATTTTCGTTTTATTTCCCTTGGCCCCGCCGGTACCGGCGGGCAGAGCCTGGCTGCTCCCAACGGGGAGAGGGTCGGGGCTTCTAGGACGGCGGGTCGCGAAATAGATTTATTTTGACACTGTTATTTGCCATATTTGCTCGAAGGTCTTTTAGAGATCCCGGTGCTAATTTAAAACTGCCTTTGTGAAGATCCGTTCTTAAAAACAAACCAAAAATAAATCAAACATCAACGGCACCAGAATGATGATAAATGAATGAAAACGCTCGAAGTGCCCCAAAACTGCACCGCGGACCCCCTTTTGCCTTTCTACGTTGTGTGGGGAAAATTTCGCTGAAATCACCGAAAATTGCGGTTTGAAAATAATAGCAATAATAACAATAACAATAATAATAATAGTAATAACAACAACAAAAACCACCACAGGGCAGGACGCAGAGCACCGCAGCCTAGGGACTGACCCGGTTCTCCGAGCCCCGCACCCGCCTCCGTGAGCCCCGCACCGAGCCCGGCGGGGCCAGGGACTGAATTGCGGAAAATCGGGTAATCGCAGAGCCTTGAATAAAAAACACCGGAGGAATCTCTGAGGTGCCCCCCGAGCTCCCCTGCTCGCTGTCGTCGGGACAGCCCCGAGCTCTGCCGCGGCGGGAGGATGCTCCGAGCCCCCCGCGCCCCACCGGGGTCATTCCCGTTTCCTGCCCGCCATTCCCGTTCCTCCCGGGTCAAACAACATTCCCTCATCCTGGTAGGATGGGGAAAGTCAGAGCGGGGGTTCCAATGTTGAGTTAAACCCCGACAAGGAACTCAAAATACTCAATCCCCTCTTGCGAGTCAAATTGGGTGAAAATTCGTGGTTTAAACTTTAGAACAGAAAGACTGTCGAAGCCAGAACATCCTCCCTGCGGGACAGGCTGCCCCCGGTGTGCGGGTCCGGAGCGAGCCCCGGGGCCGCCGCCGAGCCCCGGCCGGCCTCAGCCGCTGCCGCTCGTTCGTTTCCGTTCCGTAACGCGCTCCCGCTCCGGCCATTGCGGGCCCACAGGGCTGGCAGGGGCTCCCCGAAAGCCGCTGGGCACCGCAGGCTGGCAGCACCAGTTTCCCCTCCGGCCGGAGCCGGGACGAGGCCGTTCGAGCCCCGTTTCCCCGCCGCGGGGCCATCCCCGCCACGCCGCATCCCCCGAGCCGGGCGCTGTCGCCGCCGAGCCGCGAGGATCAGGAGCTCGGGGCGGCCCGCACAGCCCGGCCAGAGGGCAGGAATCCCTCTGCGCGGTTGTGCAGCTGCACCCCAAACTCCCTTCCTTCCTTTCTCCCCGTTTCCCGAGGGTCGTCTCCCACCCGGCTACTCCAGGGAGCCCGGCGGGTTTTCCAAACCTTCCCCGCGGCAGCGCCGGAGCGGCCCCGACCCCGCGGCAGCCGGCGAGGGCTGAGCCCCCCGGAGCAGCCCCGGCCCGGTCCCTACCTGAAGTAGTCCATCTTGCAGAAGATCTCCTTGTTCTTGATGTAGCAGCTGTGCTGCTGGCGCAGCGAGGTGCGGCACACGGAGCACTCCAGGCACCGGACGTGCCAGATGAGGTTGTTCACCTGCGGCAGAGAAGGGGCTGAGACCCGGGGCCACCCGCCGCCCCCCGCCGCCCCCGCCGCCCTCCGCCCCGCTCACCTTCAGCAGGTACCGGTCGAGGATCTCCAGCCCGCAGCTGGAGCAGACGTTTTTGCCCGCCGACGGCGTGGAGGAGGAGGAGGATGGCGGGGAGCAGACGGACGGCGTGGAAGGGGTGCTGGGCGCTGAGCGGGCGTCCTCCTTCTCCAGGGCTCCAGGCAGAGGCTCCCCGTCGGGCTGCGACTGCGGGCAGAGCCGCCGCGGGGCCGTCAGCCGGGGCCCCGCCGTTCCCCGCAGCACCGAAGCGCAGCGTCCCGCCGGGTCCCCGCAGTCCTTGGTATCCCCGGCCCGGCGGGTCCGCACAAACCCCTGACAGCCCCGGCCGAACCCCGCAATCCCCGCTCCGACGCGTCCCCACAGCCCCCGGCCCAGCGGATCCCGGCGGGTCCCCGCAGCTCCCGGCAGCCCCGGCCCAGCGCGGCCCCGCATTCCCGGCCCGGCGGGTCCCGGCTGGAACCCGCAAGCCCCGGCCCCACTTACCATGGCTCGGGAGTGCGGCTCGAGACAGCGGGAGCTCCCCTTGGGCAGCGGCTCCGGCGGCATCACCTTGATGGAGAGAGCGGGAGAAGGAGGCTGCGGCTCCATGCGCCGGGCGAGCGCGGGGCACCCTATATAAACCGCCTCAAAACAATAAATAAGAACTTTCTAGTGGCCATTTAAATCCTTTGCAACAAAAGCTGCGTCTCTTTAATGAAGCAATTTGAATGTGGATTGAATTCTCCCCCTGCCTGCACTTAACCCGGGCCTCTTGAAGTAATCGCTCGGTTCCCATGCGAGCCAAGGCGCTGAAAAACCCCCCAAACTACCTGCAATTAGAAATTGCCGTAAATGCCCGAGATAAGAGGTACCAGAGTGTCAATTCCGGCTGTCAATCAGGGAATCCATCAGGCCACCCAAAGAATTGCAAATTTGATTTTTTTAATGGTAGTAATTAAAAATCGAAATTCTTCCCCCTCTCCCTCCGCCGAGCACAAAACGCCCCAGAAAACGCCGGGATGGAAAAATCCACCCCTCTGGCGCGGGAGGCAGCGAGCGGCCCCGGCCCCGGCCCGGCCCCAGCCCCGGTACCGGCCGCCGCGGGGAGCCCGGCCCCGCTCCAGCCCCGCTCCCGGCCCCGACGGCAGCGGCGGCGGCGGAGCGCTCACCTTGCCCGCCTGGGCGCCGGCCGGGGCGCGGCGGCCAGGGCCCCGGGGCTGCCCGCCCCCATGGCTCCGGTGCATGGGGCGGGCGCGCCCCGCTCCGCCCGCCGCCGCCGCCGCGCTCCGTGCCCGCGGGCGGCGCGTCCCGCGGCCGCGGCAGGAAGGGCGGGGAGCCGGGCGGGGAACCGCGCCGGCCCCGCTCCCCCGCCGGGGGCGGCCGCGGGCCGGGCAGGAAGCGGGGCCCCCCCGCCGCGCCCGGCGGGCACCGCGCGTCTGCGTTCCCGCCGTCGCGCCTGAGGGGAGCGGGGCCCCCCCGCCGCGCCCGGCGGGCACCGCGCGTCTGCGTTCCCGCCGTCGCGCCTGAGGGGAGCGGGGCCCCCCCGCCGCGCCCCGGGGGCCGCCCGCCCCGCCGGGCCCCGCTACCTGCGGCGGCAGCACCGGCGGCGGCACCGCCCGCGGGCGCGGCGGGGAGGGGAGGGGGCGGCCAGCCCGGTCCCGCTCGTCCCGGTCCTCCCCCGTCCTCCCTGCCCGCCCCGACGGGGCGCACGGTCCGGGCCGGCCCCGCAGCCCCCCTCGGACCGCGGCTGCGGGGATCGCGCCCACCGCCGCGGCGTCTGGCCGCCCGCCGCTGCCCGGGCTTCATTAGTAACCTGATAATTCCCCAGCAAAGCCCCGGCAGCGGTGCCACCGCCGGGTAATTGCAGGACGGTAACGTGAGCTGATGGCGGCCGGGGATGGATCCTCGCCGTTATTGATTGTGACAACTAAATTGTTAACCGAGAGGGAAATCAGATGAAAGCCATTTTAGAATAAATACAAGGCATTAGGTTTAAACATCGAGGTTGCAGGAAAGCCCAAGAAACCCCCAGGAAACGGAGACCAAGGCCTGCCAGCTTGTCCTTCCCTGTCCCCAGCTCCACAGAGGCCGAGTGCGGGGGGACACAGACAAGTGCAGAGGCGAGATGCTGAGAAAGGACAATTTAAACCCTTCGTTCTCACTGGTGGGGTCTGAATTAGCTCTGGCTGCTCCAGAAGAAACACGTAGGAGTTTTCATGGACACAGCCATGAAAGCTGTCTGTCCCCCTACGCAGCACCGGTCGGGGCAGGGCCGTGTAGGGTTCATTGGCATCCCCAGAGTGATGCTGGGTTTGGCAGCCATGGCTCAGCACCACGGGCCAGCACCATGCAGCCAAGCAGATGCTTGCACTGTTCTCATGATTACAGACCAGGCTCTCTGGACCCTGCAAAGCCAGAAGAGGCTCAGGAACGGGGTGACTCCAGCCCAGCTTCTGCCTTTCTCCAGCCTTGGGAGTAAGTCTTGGCTCTGCAGAGTCTGCTGCTCTCACTGCCTGCTGAGAACAGACAGATATCACACGTGCTTCTTGCAGCAGGAACAGGGCCTGGGCAGAATGGGGAATGCAAAGCACTGGAGCAAACAGGTATCAGCACTGAGCCCATGCCTGTCCTTACCTCTGTGTGCTCCCTCCACCAGTGCTGGAGTTTGTACAAGGCAGCAACAAGGTGGCAGCGTGTCAAGCAGCAGCTCGGCCAGAATCCCAGAATTTGGGGCTGGGAATGTTCTGTGCTCCCAGAGTGAAGATTCCATGCCTGTCCCAAGTGAGGGACTGTCACCACAGGCAGAATGGTTCAAATACCAAGGAAAAACCCACACTGCAGCCATGGTAAACACCGTGCTCAGAAACCCACCTTGCTCCCATGGATTTGCTGCAAATACAGGGGAAGCAAGGAGCCCCCTCAGAGGACAGGAGAGCAGGCTGGAGGTGAGAAAGAGCCCAATTCCTCCTCAAAGGAGCCAGGCACCAAGCCCAGCTCTCCTTCCCACCACCAGCTGCCAACCTCCCTACTTACGGCTCCAGCGCCGGCCGCAGCGATGCCGCGCTCCCGGCGCTCTTCAAATCTCTTCTACCACGGTGTTATGCAAAGTCCCAGGGCTGATGCTCATGAAAAAGAAAACATTTCTGAGCATTTCCCTCCTCCCAGCTCCAGGGTTAGGAGCTCTGGGCTCGCTGTGCTGGCGCGGGGCCGCCGGGAAGCCGCAGCGTTCCCGGGAAGCGCAGGCAGCACCAGGAATGACCAGCACAGGCTCCGACCTGCAATAAAAGCTCCCCCAGGTCTGAGTCTGGCCGAGCGACAGACAAGGCACTTCTGTTAGCGACCACGGCAGGGCAAAGAAATAATTAAAAAAAAAAAGACTGATGCTATTGTACCCGGGTTCTGTCAGTGGACTTCGGCTGATGCCAAGCATTTACCACCCTCACTCACTTCCTGCTTGCCACCCTCGGCTTTCCTGGAGGAAAACATGCATTTTAAATGTTTATTTAGAGCTGTAAGAATTTCAACAAATCGTATTTAAATACAAATAAATATCAAAGTATGTTTCTGATGGGAGCACAGCCACACACCCATTTGAAACCAGGTATCTCCTAAATTCCTACCAGGAACAGAATTCAGAGCTGCTCTAAACAACGCAGATACAGACCCGGAAAGCTACAGAGCATGCAGGAACAAACAGGCTGTTCACAGAGGAATGCAAACGGGTGTCACTGACATTCAGAGGGGTACAAACTCCCAAGAATACTACTTTTCCCTCTACTCAGGTACCCAAAAAAGCTAAGAAACAAACATTACCAGCATGAGACCTACTTTAGAACAATTGAGGCTTTCAACAATCCTCCTCACAGACAGGCACGGCTCAGCTCCAGGTGCTCGGTTCTGCAGCAGGAAGCGAGCTCTGCCTGGAGGGAGGTGTGCTGCTGCTGCTGCAGGAATACAAACCTCCCTGGGCTGTGCCACTGAGCAACTCCTGCCTGCACAAACCCGGGCTCTTTCCAAATTGTTTTCCTCCTCCTGTTTGAGACCACCATTAACCAGTTTGGGAGAGCAGCTCAAGAGTGAGCGATGAGGTCTGACAGGATTGGGGAGGGAAAATCAGACCAGTGTCACCTGGACCCGAGCACGTGAGCTCTCTCACATCCCCCTGGCACAGCAGTGTGCACAGAGAAAATGCTGCCAGAAAATGTTTTTTTTCCTCAGATTTCTATTTTGCAGACCTTTAGGTGGAAAATGTGCTGCAGATCAGATGGTTCAGAGCGACGCCTTACAGATCTGTGCATTAGGTCCCTAGGGCAGTCCCAGTTCACCACAAACACTGGTGCCACCTCACACCAGAGGCAGCTGACCACCTCTGCCAGCCCTTGGAAACCAAAGCTGGGCAGGACAGGGGGCAAACACCGAGTTCAGGGCTTGGCAGATGTCTCAGAGGCTGCAGTTTCTCTCACACTGCCACATCTGGCTCATGAGGAGCTGCCACCGTCAGGGATCACTGAACACAAATGCCAAAGCTCAGGGCACAGCACAGACCTCAGTGGTGTGTAAATACACTAATTCCTACATGCAGGCACACACCTACAGCCTAAATGACACTGAAAATACCTGTGCTGTGTCATCACCATGTCATAAAGTAACACTGTGGAGTGTGTGAATCAAAATGCAAAATCAATTGGCTTTGGTGCACATAAAATATCGCATGCAGTTACTAAAGGTGCTGCAAGATCTATTTAAAATGAGTTTTATTGAAATGAAAAAGTTTTTCCATTATGACTACAGCATGTTAATCAAAACCAAGTGCTTCCCCTTCCATTAAAACATGAATTGGAATACATTTTGTTCAAAAATACTTTAAAAAGTAATCAGTTAAATGGAGTATTTTTGGATGTGCTTTACTCCGAACACTGGTTACTGTTTCTAATCTGGCTAATGAATGCACACTAACGAGAGGTTGCCTGTGTGTTCATCAGAGGCTTTGAAGGGAACCTATTTCTCTGAACAGCCTTCAGCTGTGAGCTGCACAGGCAGCAGCCTGCAGACCCTCAGGTGTGACAGAGGACTGTGCTGGCTGTGCCCTGCTCAGGTGGCATTGTCCTTCCCACTCTACAAAAGTACAAAAGCACTGGAGGGTTCCAGGTATACAAAGCAGTGTTTCTTGCTACCATCATCCATTCATAAGCATCATCTTCTGGATTTCCAGGCAGCTCTGGAGTAAGGAGTAGTCCTTTTCTTATCAGGTGGTTTGAAGTAAGAATAAACAGGTGCTGCAGGATATTCTGCATCTGGATTTTCTGCCATCATTTTCAGCTTGGCTTCAATGGCCTTTATTTTTGCACTGACACTGGAAAGAGAAAAAGCAGAAAGGAAATTGAGCTTGATCTTAGCATGAAACCCAACTACAGAAATCCAGAGATTCTGCTGACATGCGAATCCTCCCTGCACAAGGAGGGGCCAGGCAGCCCCCACTGCTGCATGCACAGCGAGGCAGGAATGCACTGCCAGAGCCCACACTGCTGCACTTCGACCTCTGCACGGGTTTGCTCCTCCCAGAGACACCTCAGCACCCCAAAATAACGGCCCCTGCACCTATTCAGAGCTTTCACGAGGACACTGAGCGAGGTAAGAACACGACAAGGCTTCCTACTTCATGTGAAATGATGTCATTTCAGGAGCTCTGAGCATGTGCAGCAGAGCACAGCTCAGAGCAGGCTGCTGGGAACAGCAGAGAAATGAAAGCCAGACTTCCTCCCAACTACAGCCTGCTCGGGATGGGAAAACCCCAGACTCTAATTAGGTCAGGAAGAAACATTATTTCAGCATTAGCAGGGTTTATCCCAAAGGGAGAGGCTATCCTAGGTTACACCCCAAATTCCTAGGACTTTTGTTTTTTACTATTCTCCATTGGGTATGGACGGGGAGGAATGTTCCCTTCCCCACTGTGGCTTCTTGCACCATCCATCCTCACTGAAACAACCCCTTTGTGCCACCAATGCAGTTAACAATCTGCCTGACTCAAACCCCTCTGCCCTTTACTTCCTAGCCTGTTACTTCTGAATTACAAGCTCATTTTGTATTTGTGCAAATGCATTAATCTGGTCTTGGTTCCTCACAGGGTTCCACTGACACAACACAGAGGAAAACCACACACCCTTTCATACAAACTGTGAATTAGCAAAGCAGCTATGTGCTTTAGGTAAATGCAGTGGTTGGAGAATTTAACCACATCCCACAGACAAGACCTACAGGCAAAAAAACACTAGCAAAAAAAAGAATTAGTTTTATGTGAAGTACTACCTGTGACTTTGTTTTAATCTTCTGCCACTATTGTAGAACTTCTTGCTCATAAGCATTTTGCTGAACCAAATTAGTCCAGTAAAAAACCCAATTCACATGAAGTGCAGAGATTCTGGCCAAAGGAGCTGGAGTGCTACACATTCCCAGCTCTCCATCTCACCTCATTCCCCTCCTACCTCCCATTGGCTTTGCACGTTAGAAAACAAACTTCCAGTCTGAAGTATCCACATCAAGTGAGTGACTTCACAGGCACTGCCCTTTCAAAACCAGCTTTTTTGCCGTGCTAGATTTTTAATACAAACAACGCCAACAATTCTAAATCTTACTGAAATGGAAGAAGTTGGTTCCCTGCCAGTCCCACAGCTGGGTCACCTCTCACCCAACCCATCTCCTACCTTAGGTTGGACTGGGGTGGCTCCGTGCTGGAAGATGGCTCCAGACTGATTGGAAGGATCTTCTCATTTTTATTGTGATCATATCTCTGCAAGCAAGAGACCAAG